GCTTCTTCCCATCACCACGCGCCCTAAACTCCTTTAGAGCTGCTAGTCGCTGCCTATCTCTAACTATTAGGGTCCCTTCCTTCTAAACCTACTTTCTTTTGTGTGATTTTTGTTGTGTGGTGGCCTCATTAGCTGCTTAAAGCTTGCTGATTTCCTGTTAGGCTAAAACTAGCTTATAGGATAAAATTGCTCCCCCCTTTGCATAGTGCTTAAGCGCGCTTAGAACAGAGTCTGGTGAGCTACCCTGCTACTTCTTATACTTCTCTTAAATTAGAGTTAATTGCAACCTAAATTCTAGGGTATTGCTAGGGGTTTGCGACTGCCAGGGCTTGCTGTTAGTAGGGAGTGGTGGTGATAGAGTCTGCAGCTTCACATTAAGGGTTAAAATAACCTGTTCTAGGTTAAAGGGGACTAATCTAGCACCTTAGAACCCTCCTTAGATGTTGCTAGGAGTAAACACCACATTATAGGCTGCTTTGAAGCATGGGAGGAACTTAGTCTTTGTAAGGTAGGTAATCTAGTTGCGCATAAGCATTTCGGCTTGGCGCCCATACGCCAGCTTTAAAGGGGCAAAACAACCCACATTAAGTGGCTGTAGGAGGTGTGATGAGTGCAGAGGCATACATATGGTAACAATCTTGTTATCCTTGCAGTATTGCTAGAATTAGAGCGAGTTGTGGCTCTCGTGGCCATCAATAACTAGCAGTTAGTAGGTACTAACAGTTTGCCCCTTTGTATGCGCGTTAAAGTGCTTTAACTACTTAAGACTAAGCTTATTAGTAGTCTAGCTATTACTAGAGACTCTAATAACCTAATCCTAGGGCAGGTCTTCCTCCTTATACTAGCTAGAGAGGTAGTGGCGTGCCTTAAAGATAATGAAGGGCGGAATAGCCTATCCTTTTGCATTAATGCCCTGTATGACCGTTGTCCACTCCCAGTTGCCTGGCTAGACTGTTTTTAGCCTTCCTAGTCTCTCTAAAGCTGTAACAACTGCTCCTAAGGAGATCTAGCCTATTATAAAGCCTGTCTCATCAAAGTTGTAGGTATTGTCATCCTAGATGCTATACTTAGCTTTGATATTGGCTACTAGGCTAAACCAGCCCTGCACAACCCCTGAATCCTTGCAGAGGGCTTGCTTGTAGTTATACTTGCGATTAAACTTTACTTTGAGCTCTAGTTGACGCTTAACAAACGTACTAGGCCAGTTTACGCCAACAGGGCCCAGATTGCGCTCAGCGCGCAGAGAATTGGCCATAGCAGCCACATCTGCAAGCTGGGGGCCAAATCCTCGCGCGTCTAGCTCAAGTATGTGCTTAACAATTACCCTCTCCTTGTTATTATCTAATCCTTATAAGTTAGGCATAGTATCACCTTGTGAAGGTCGTCTAGTGTGTTGATGGCTTAGCGTGCTTTAAGGCACTTTATAGATAGCTGCAGCGCGTTGCTAGGAGAGATTCGCGTCTTGTTTAAGAGCTTGAAGCGCAAGCTGTACCTGAGCTTCTTGAGACGCGTTAATAATAGGTTGTTGTTGAGACATTGGTATAGAAAGGGTACTTTGGTAGGGGCTTGGCAAAAGTGGCTCGCTCGCCCGTTGGCTCGCTCGCCCGTGGGGTACGTTATAAGTATTTTAGCTTAGCGCCTATACACTGTCTTTAAAGCAGCAAAATAAACTACATTAAGGGGCTGTATAAGGTGTGATAAGTAAGGAGGTAAATAGAGAGTAATTATCTTGTTATCCTTGCAGTATTGCTAGAATTTAAGAGAGTTATAGCTCTCATACCTATTAATAATAAGCAAACAGTAGCTGCTAATAGTATGCTGCTTTGTATGCCTGTTAAAGTGCTTTATCTAGTCTAGACTAAGCTTGTTAGTAGTCTAGCTATTATTAGAGACCCTAATAACCTAGTCTTAAGGCAGTTCCTCTTCTTTATACTAGGCAGAGAGGTAGTGGTAGGCCTTAAAGATAAGGAAGGCTAGAATAGCCTATCCTTTAGTATTAATACTCACTATAGCTATAGCCTACTCCTAGTTGCCTAGCTAGACTGCCTTTAGCTAACCTTGTTATTCTAAAGCTGTAACAACTACTCCTTAGGAGATCTAGCCTATTATAAAGCCTGTCTTGTTAAAGTTATACGTGTCTTTATCCTAGATGCTATACTTAGCTTTAACATTAGCTACCACGCTAAACTAGCCCTATAGGACCTCAGGATCCTTATAGAGGGCTCTCTTGTAGTTGTACTTGCAATTAAACTTGACTTTAAGCTCTAGGTGTTGCTTAACAAACATACTAGGATAGTTTATGCTAATAGGGCCTAGATTGCGCTTAGCGCGCAAAGAATTGGCCATAGTAGCTACATCTAAGAGCTAAGGGGAAAATCCTTGCACATCTAGCTTAAGAACATGTTTAACAATCACCTTCTCCTTATTGTTATCTAGCTTCTGTAAGTTTGCTACAGAATTAGCGTGTGAAGGTTGTCCTGTGTGTTAGTTGCTTAGTGTCTTTTAAGGGACCCTGTAGATAGCTGCAGCGCGTTGCTAGGAGAGAGTCGCGTCTTGTTTAAGAGCCTAGAGCGCTAGCTGTATCTAAGCTTCCTTTAACGCGTCTAAATAGTAGTGTTAAGGAGGCATTGGTATGCAAAGAGTAGTTTAGTAGGGGCTTGGCAAAAGTGAGCGGCTCGCTCGGTGAGCGGCTCGCGCGTGGGGTACGTTACCAATTCCTTTGTACCACTGCGACCGCGTTGTGCTGCTGGCGCGTGCACGCTACCGCCCGACTAGGTAGCGGGCGTGGGTGGGCCCGCGTTTTTTCGAGACAATAATCTTTTGCGGCTTCGAGTCCATCTGAATCGCAAGCTCCGCCTCGCTGCGCCCGCGCATGTAAAGGACTCCCCCCGCCGGCTCGCACGCAGGCGCACGCACGCGCAACCAACCATGAACCCGTCGCAGCCCGTGTCGTCGGCCATCCAGGCCGTCGAGTTTGGCTTCCTCTCGGCCCACCACGTCCGCGCGCTGTCGGTCAAGCGCATCACCAACCCGACCACCTTCGACTCGCTGCTGCACCCGGTCGCCGGCGGCCTGCACGATGCCGCGCTCGGCGCCTTCCTCGACAACCCGTGCTCGACGTGCCGCCTCACCACCATGCTCGGCTGCCCCGGCCACTGCGGCCACATCGAGCTGCCCGTCCCCGTCTACCACCTCACCTTTATGGACCAGCTGCTGCGCCTGCTGCGCGGCAAGTGCGCCTACTGCCATCGTCTGAAGCTCGCCCGCGTGCAGGTCAACGAGTTCGTCTCGAAGCTGCGTCTGATCCGCTGCGGCCTGGTCAAGGAGGCCAACGAGATGCACGAGTTCATCGACGTGAACAAGGGCAAGAAGAAGTCCGACGCCGCCAAGTCTGCTGGTGACGACGACGGCGACGACGACGACGACGAGGACGACGACGAGGACATTGTGGGCCAGCGCAACAACTACGTCAAGCGCTGCCTGAAGCGGGCCGGCGTCTCCAAGCACGAGGCGCGCTCCACCAAGGAGAAGAACGCCACCATCGCAGAGGCCCGTCGACTGGTCCTGAAGGACTTCTATGCCGCCATTGTCGCCGGTAAGAAGTGCAGGAACTGCCAGGCCATCAGCCCCACCTACCGCAAGGACAAGAGCATCAAGATCTTCAGGAAGAACCTGAGCGCCAAGGACAAGGCGCACATGGCGCAGTCGGAGAAGCGCCTCCAGAACCCGCTCGACGTGATTGCGCGACGAGATGCAAGGGCGACGAAGCAGACTGTCCACGACGACGAGGGCCTGGCCGACATGTCAGAGGACGACGGCTCCGACGACGGCGTCGACGTGGCCATGGACGACGGCTCGCTCACGGCCACCGAGGCACGGACCGCGGGCAGGTCCAAGACGGCCGTCGACGCCGTCGACGCCGCCGACAGCTCGCAGGAGTACGTCACGGCCGCCGAGGTCAGGGCGTCGATGGTGCTGCTGTTCGAGCAAGAAGCCGACATGCTCCGCCTGGTGTACGCCCCGTACAGCTCAGCCCCCGTCAGCCCAGACATGTTCTTCATCGAGGCCATGGTGGTGCCGCCCAACAGGTACAGGATGGAGGACAAGACTGGCGACTCGATTGCCGAGTCGCCCAAGAACAGCTTGTACAAGGGCATCCTGAACGCCTGCGACTCGATGCGCCAGATCAGCAACGAGATGAAGGGCCACGAGAACGAGGCTGGCTACAGGCGCCGCAACTTTGACGACCTGCAGAACACCTGGGTCAACCTGCAGGGCGCCGTCAACGCCGTCATCGACCGCGACGCCAACCCCGTCCAGGGCAAGGCTGGCCTGACCAGCGCAGACGGTATCAAGCAGCATCTGGAGAAGAAGGAGGGCCTGTTCCGCAAGAACATGATGGGCAAGCGTGTCAACTTTGCCGCCCGGTCGGTCATCTCGCCCGATCCCAACATCGAGACCAACGAGATCGGCGTGCCGCCTGTCTTCGCCAAGAAGCTCACCTTCCCCGAGCCCGTGACCAACCACAACTTCTACGACATGAAGGAGGCCGTCTTGAACGGGCCGGACAAGTGGCCCGGTGCTGTCGCCATCGAGAACGAGTACGGCCAGGTGGTGACGCTCAAGAAGAAGAACTACGAGGAGCGCTTGGCTCTGGCCAACCAGCTGCTCGCGCCCTCCAACACCTTCTCGAACGGCTCCAAGAACAAAAAGGTCCACCGCCACCTGAACAACGGCGACGTCGTCATCATGAACCGCCAGCCCACGCTGCACAAGCCCTCGATGATGGTCCACCGAGCGCGTGTCCTGCCCGGCGAGAAGACGATCCGCATGCACTACGCCAACTGCAACACGTACAACGCCGATTTCGACGGCGACGAGATGAACATGCACTTCCCCCAGAACGAGCTCGCGCGCGCCGAAGCCATGACCATTGCCGACACGGACCACCAGTACCTTTCGGCGACGGCCGGAAAGCCTCTGCGCGGTCTCATCCAGGATCACATCTCCATGGGTGTCTGGCTGTCGAACAAGGACACCTTCTTCACGCGCGACGAGTACCAGCAGCTCATGTACGCGGCCCTGCGACCCGAGGACGGACACACTACGTCTGGCCGCTTGGAGACGGTCGAGCCTGCCGTTTACAAACCCGTGCCCATGTGGACGGGCAAGCAGATCTTCACCACCATCCTCAAGAACATCAAGCCGGCCGAGTACCAGGACCTGACGCTCGAATCCAGGTCGTCCACAAACGGCAAGCTCTGGGGCGACGCAAGTGAGGAGCAGACCGTCGTCGTCAAGGACGGCCAGTTGCTGTGCGGTATCATCGACAAGAGCCAGATCGGCCCCGCGCCCGGCGGTCTCATCAACGGTATATACGAGGCCTACGGTGAGACGATTGCCGGTCGGGCGCTCAGTATCATCGGACGCATGCTTACGAAGCTCCTTCACATGCGCGCCTTTTCGTGCGGTGTCGAGGATCTTATCTTGACCGCCGAGGGTGACCGAGCACGTCTCGAGCAGCTGAAGGCTGCCGAGCGGGTCGGTTTCGAAGTAGCGTCAAAGTACGTTAGCTTGGACGCCAACAGCATCACGCCCACCACCGCCGAGCTCCACACACGTCTTGAGCGCGTTCTGCGAGACGATGGCAAGCAGCACGGCCTCGACCTGTTGTCCAACAGCGCCACCGCATCCGTCTCCTCTGCCGTCACACAGGCCTGTCTGCCACACAAGCTCATCAAACTCTTCCCCAAGAACCAGATGCAGGCCATGACAGGCTCCGGTGCCAAGGGCAGTTTGGTCAACGCCAACCAGATCTCGTGTAACCTGGGTCAGCAGGTTCTCGAAGGTCGTCGTGTACCGGTCATGGTCAGTGGCAAGACGCTGCCGTGCTTCAAGCCGTACGAGACCAGTGTGCGTGCCGGTGGCTACATTGTCAACCGCTTCTTGACAGGGGTTCGCCCTCAAGAGTACTACTTCCACATGATGGCTGGTCGCGAAGGTCTCATCGATACCGCCGTCAAGACGTCTCGTTCCGGCTATCTGCAGCGCTGCATCATCAAGGGCATGGAGGGCCTCAAGGTCGAGTACGACACGTCCGTGCGCGACTCCGATGGCAGCATGGTTCAGTTCCTGTACGGTGAAGATGGTCTCGACATCACCAAGCAAAAGTACCTCAACGACTTCAAGTTCCAGGCGCAGAACTTTCTGTCCCTCGCGCAGTCGCTGAACACGCAAGAAGCGTTTGGCAAAGTGCACAGCGAAGAAGCGGCTGCGCACAACAAAAAGGCCGCCAAGAAGGCCAGGAAAGATGCCGTGGCAATGGACCCCGTCACGGCTGTCTACGCCCCTGGCCGCCACAGCGGTAGTACTTCGGAGAAGTTCTACCAGGCCAAGAAGGATGTAAGTTTGCACCGTGAAGAGGTCGGAGAAAGGCTAATCGATTATAGTACGTCGACGGCAACGTGGACAAGCTGCTCAAGAGCAAGAAGAAGGACCCCGAGGGCGAGATTCTCAAGAAGAGCTTCGAACAGATGCTCGATCTCAAGTACCTCCGTTCCCTGGTCGAGCCCGGCGAGGCTGTTGGTGTCGTTGCTGGCCAGTCCATCGGTGAGCCCTCAACACAGATGACGCTGAACACGTTCCATTTGGCTGGTCACTCGGCCAAGAACGTCACGCTCGGTATCCCGCGTCTCCGTGAAATCGTCATGACCGCTTCAGCCAAGATCTCGACCCCTGGCATGACCATGTACCCTCACGCCGAGGTTCCAAAGGACCACCAGGAGAGGTTCGCGAAGAGTATCACGAGGCTGCCACTGTCTGCTGTCCTCGACAAGGTCACCGTCACCGAGTCATCCGGCGCTGGGTCACAATTCAGCCAGGCCAGGACATACAAGGTTCGCCTCGACCTCTACCCCGCCAACGAGTACACACAAGAGTACGCCATCAAGGTCCGCGATGTTGCCGAGTCGATCGAGCACAAGTTCTGCCCGCGTCTGCAGAAAATCATGCGCATCGACCTGAAGAAGAAGGGTGAGAACAAGTCATTGTCGACAGCCAACGCCTCGGTGCCGCAGGTGGGCCAGTCAAGCCGCGGCCTGGACGACGTCGTGGTTGATGGCGAGCGTGCCGGGCGCGAAGGCGGGGCCGACGACGACAGCGACGACGGCGAGGGCGACAACGACACCACACACGCCAAGCAGCGCGGTCGCCGCGAAGACAGCGTCGGCTACGAAGAGCCCGAGGAGGAGGAGGAGCAAGCCATGAACGACGCCCTCGACCGCCAAGACGCCGTCAGCGACGACGACGAAGCCTACGGCGGCAGCCCCAAGCCCTCGCGCGCATCGAGCCCCGACTCTGACGCCGACGACGACGAAGAGATGCTCGTACCGACCGACGAAGCCTCGGACATCCGCAAAGACCGCATCATCAACAAAAACGCCGACGTCTTCGACTTCAAGTTTGACGACAAAAAGGGCGCCTACTGCGAAATCACGTTCGAGTTCCCCCTCTCCGCCCCCAAGCTCCTGGTCCTACACCACGTCGAAGCCGCCGCCTCCTTCGCCACAATCCACGTCATCCCCGGCATAACTTCCGCCATGGTCAGCAAGGAAGACGGCAAGGACACTGTCGGCAAGAAAATCGACGTCCCCGTCGTCATAACCGAAGGTTCCAACCTCCTCGCGATCCGCGAGTTCCACGACATCATCGACGTAAACCGCGTCTTTACAAACGACATCGTGGCGATGCTGCAGCTCTACGGCGTCGAAGCGTGCCGCGCCACTATCGTGCGCGAAATGCACGCCGTCTTCGCCGGCCACGGGATTAGTGTCGATTTGCGCCATCTTAGTCTCATTGCTGATACTATGACCAAGGGCGGTGGGTTCACGCCGTTTAACCGCATGGGGCTGAGAGCGGATGTCAGTCCGTTTATGAAGATGAGCTTTGAGACTACCGTTGCGTTCCTCAGGGACGCCGTGCTCGAGAGGGATACGGATGAGCTTAAGAATCCGTCGGCAAGGATTGTCGTTGGTAAGCTCGGTGGCATTGGGACGGGCGCGTTTGATGTCCTCGCCCCCGTGCAAGTTGTTGATCCGCTGAAGGGGGAGGTGCTGCCTGGTGTCGAGACGCCCGTGGAGGGGGATGTGGATATGCAGGATGCGTAGTGCCAAGCGGCGATTGATGGAGCTTATTACCCAGCATGAACGGGCGTTTGGCGTGTTTGGCGCGTTGGGACGCGGTGCATTGGCTTTTTAATGAAAAGTGTTTACGCCCATCCTCCACTGCGGTTCCAGCTGCAGCTCAAGTGCGTCCTGGGGCTTCTGCTATCTACAATGCTGATACCCTTCTACCCTCTTTACTCTTCTATCCCCTCCACCCTTCTACCCTCTTTACCCTTCTACCCTCTCCACCCTTTTACCCCCTCTACTCTTCTATCCCTTCTACCCTCTTTACCCTTCTACCCTCTTTACCCTTCTACTCTTCTATCCCCTCCACTCTTCTATCCCCTCCACTCTTCTATCCCCTCTACCCTCTCTACTCTTCTACCCTCTCCACTCTTCTACCCTCTCTACCCTTTTACATCTCGGAGACTTCTCATTCCCACCTACAACATGCACGATATATTTATCCGCTTCTTCCCATCTTCTTAACGCACCGGTTGAAGAAAGGTACGGGGCTGCATGCATGCGTTTCGTGTCTTTGCGTTTGTTTTTCGCGAAACTGTGACGGCGCTGAGCTGTGCAGAAGCTGCGCCTGGGTGTTCTGCTGTGGTGGTGGTGCGGGTACACGCTCCTTGTGATCGGGCCGGTGGCGGTGGCGGGCATGCATGTACAGTGCTACTGGGCTATACGAGTTGGAAATTGTATATACACACATACAAACGCACATGCAAGGGTAGGTTGGTGTCAGAGTTGGAGAAGAATGCTGGGATGATTGATGTATTGATGTTGATGTGGCCCGGCTCTTGCTTAGTGCTAGTACCTTTGTATCACAAACTAGGTATAGTAGATATACCCCTCGTCCACCCCATACTCTAAAAAAGCGCGCTCGTGTACACAACATGCCCAGGCGCTGTACGAGGTAGATCGCAGTCTGGACGCGCTCCGATTCTGCAGTTCACCGCACACAGCTTCAGCCAGCGTTCGAATCAGATTTGCTCAGGGTACGTATGCATATGTGTATCTGCACTTCTGCCCAGTCGCAAAAGAAGCGTATCTACACGTTATATGCCTGCTAGACTTCTATCCGAGGCTCTCAAATACAACATAGCTAGCAAGTAGCGCAACGACAGCCTGAATGCTGTATTCGGAGTCGCGAGGTTGCCGAGAGAGAGAAGTCGGGGAGACACATGTCGTATACTATAGTTCCACTGTAGTCGGAGGAGTACAAACGCTCGATGCATGCAGTGGCTCGTGGACGACTGGGTACCAAGCGGATATGTAGGTGATAGCCGCGTGCCCCACCACACCTAACCGACACAGGCTAGGCGTGACGTCATGGCTTGAACTGCAGTCGCGAGGGATGATGGGCTAGCACGCGCAGTGCAGGACCAGCGTCATATGGAGGAAATATGCGGTGTGCATCCTCTTCTCTTGCTCGCCAGTCAAACGCCATGTCGTTCCCGCGCGGGCGATCACTCATCGATCATGGGCCTACGCACACGGCCATCGCGTCATCTGTCGTGAACTGCGCAGCTCCCGCTCCTCCTCTCCACTCACAACATCCCACGTCTTGTCTGTGTAACCCGCTACGTGAAGCTTGCATTTCAGTGCGAGTCATTGCCTGTGGGCCTGCGTGTCTTCATCTCTTATCATCGTGTACATATACCCAGCCGCGCAGTTGTCCTCTGCCACGGCATACCCCGCCGGCGGCACCTTGGACCTCGTCCTCTTCTCGCGAGTCCTATCGTACCTGACGCCGCGCTGCTGCGGTCATGAACTACGCATCATGGATCGAAGAAAAGAACCTCAAGGTAAAGGCCCGGCCGGCGGAGAATTCCTGCCCATGATCCAGCCCCCAACCGCCGATGCTCACCCGAGTTTCCAGAAAACCTTCATCTGCGCGACCCTTGCGTCGACGCTGGTGGGTACCTTCACCGCCTCCATGGGGCTGTGGGAGCGCGTGCATGATCGCCGCGAGGCCCACAAGCAGAAGAAGAGAGACACGGACCAGGATGATAAGATCAAGAAGCTGCACGAACAGTTCGAGGAGGCGCAGAAGAAGGCCGAGAAGCGTCAGGAGGAGATTGACCGCCTGAAAGACGGGGGCGGTGACCGAGGGGGAGGTGGCAGACGAGGCGGCTCCCGCGACGACTACCGCGGCGACTACCGCGACGACTACCGTGACGACGTGGGTGAGAATCTGGGCCGCAACGGCATGATGGTGCAGCGCATGTATGACGACATGTACGGGCGGTATGGCAGTCGATTTGCCCGGGGCGACGGTACATGCAACGTCCTTTACACCTCCAAATGGCATACTAATATCGGCCAGCCATCACCGAGAACCAACTGCAAGCGCAGATCATTGCCCTCCAGCAAACCGTCATAACCGTGCTGCAAGACGCCCTCGCCAACGACCGCCAGCTTACCCGCGGCGACATGGCGAAGCTCGTCGCGGCCTCCAACTCGGCACGCGAAGGCAGCCTGAGAGCGCTGCAAGACCAACAAGCCCGCCTCTCCCCGCCGCGCTCGCCCTCGCCGTCCCGCTCCCTCGCCGCCCCGAAACGCACCTCGACCGCGGTCATCGCGCTACAGGCCCAGGAATCGCTGTACTGCAGATACAGCCTGGACCTGCAGCACGCGCCCGCCAAGCCGCTCGCAGCTAGCATGGCGCCCGGCGGGAGCTGCGAGTGCCCGGCCTGCGGCGTGCGGCTCGACGTGACGGGGGAGGATTTCTGGATGATTGGGAAGCGCACGCCGCTCACCGTCGTCGACGGCGGGTATGCGTCGTCGGTGCTGGAGACGCGCGAGTTCCGCCTCGGACAGCGGTTTGCTGTCAAGTGCCACACGCCGGACGGCGAGTATGCCTGTATCATCTGCGCGCGCGAGAGGGACGTCGATGCTATCTGCAGGAACGTGGAGAGTCTGGTCAAGCACGTGGGCACCTTCCATGACGTCGATGAACTGGAGCGCGACGTCGACCTCAGGGAGACGCTGCTCGTGGATAAGAAGCGTTTGAGTCTTCCTGCGCCGCCCAGGGAGGGGAGTCCGCTGGTCAGGGAGAGGGACGTGGTGGATATGAGGGGGTATCGATGATCCCGGCCGTCTCACTGTGTGCGATCTTTAGTGCGCATAGCGTGGCGACTTTAGCGTTGGGTTTTTAGACGAGCGGATATCTGAGGCTCAGATCACGATTGCATATGACGACAAACGAATACACAATACACGGCCGCAGTCACGCTTCCGACCTGCACTGCTCACGTCACTGCGTGGACATGCTATCCAGTCACCTGCCCGGAAGCATCCATGCCCATACGCCTGCGACTGAACGCATACGCGCGAAGCTGGGTCCTGTCTAGATGGGAACGTCACAAGCGAACCGTGTCGTCGTTTTCCACCCCGCAGCAAATGTCGACGTTGACGTGCAAGGGAGTGTACCTGGCGAGGCGCCATTGATTCCCAAGTGAACAACCCTCTAAACCCCCAAGGAACATGGCCCCCAGCTAACACTGCTCTGCTTCGTAGGAGCATAGAGCGGCACTGTTTGTCCTGGGTAGCGGAGCGTGACTTTCGCGCCGCCTGAAGTTGGACGCAGTCCACACCTAGAGCCTTACCCGCTCACTCTGAACCTATCGTTCTCTGCTTGAGATGTACCCGCAACGGCGGCTTCTGCCACAGCCCAAAGATCTTCTGAACATGCCACTGCTGCATACCTTCATCCAGTTCAAGATCGAAGTTCCACAGCAGCAGAGCGATGATCAGACGCATCTCAAGGAACGCCAAGTTACGGCCAATGCAATCGCGACGGCCGTACGAGAAGGGCTTGTGTACACCACGGCGGTCATTGTGGAATGGCGAGCATGGTTCGTTGTATTCTTCCGGCAGCCAGCGTTCGGGGTGGAAGGCTTGCGGGTCGAGGAAGTTGAGTGGCGAGTGGTAGGCTGCAAGTTGGTGCACGCCGACGCGGGTCTACGATACATGAGCAATGAAATTCGGTCTGTGGATGAGTACGCTTACGTCGCCGGGTATCAAGTGGCCAGCGATTGGGGTTGGAGAACCCTCATTTGTGACTCTCGGCAAGACCAGAGGTATGGCGGGGAAGATGCGCATAGCCTCGTTCAAGCAAGCCAACATGTACGGCAAGCGCGCGGTTGCATTCTTGAAGTTGATGTCTTCTGCGCGTGTGAAGGCGGTTCGCACTTCTTCCGAAACTTTTTTGTAAGTGTCTGGATTCTTCAAAAGATAGTATGTGACACCGAGAAGCACCGTCGCTGTGGTCTCGGAACCCGCGAGCATGAAGAGGTCTGCGTTGTGCACTAGCTCTTCATCTGTAAGCTCGTGCTCCTCACCGCGCGAGCGCAGCATGAAGTCCATGAAGTCTCCGCGGTCGGCTTGCTCTTTACCCTGGATCCGGCTCATGGCGAGAGAGGCGGCATAGTTATGATGTTCTGTGCGCGACTGCTGTATCTTGTTGCCGAGAACAAGATTGAACAGCGTCTCAAGTAGTGGAAAGCTCATTACCAACATCAACACAGGCATGAATCTCAACATCTTGTCAATTTTCTCAATCCAAGCGTTCGATTCTCCAGTTTCCAGTCCATCCAAGGACTTCCCAAAAGAAAGATCGGCGATCAGATCGAAAGTCGTCAGGTTGTACCAGCGGGCCATGTCAGCCGGCTTACCAGACTGCGCACATTCGGAGAGGCGTTGCATAAGCAGGTCGATGTACACCCGGATCAATCGCTCTTGCTGGGCCAGTGCCTTTTCTGAGAACGCCGGCAGCATAGCTCTGCGCATGCGGAAGTGATTGCTTGAATTTGCTGCTATGATCTGGTTTGGGTCCATAACGTTGGGGGGGAAGTGTTTGCGTAGCTCTGCATGCCCATGTCCGTAGATGTCCTTCCAAGCGCTCGGACTGATGAAAGATAGCTCATCCACGCCGATCCGCACTACTTCACCGTGCTTGCGGTGTTCTTCGCTGATTTGGGAATCGACGTTTCCTCCTATGCGTGCGACCATGCATGCGACGTCGAAGGCTGCCCATAGTTTCGGTCCAGGATACTTGCTGAGTGGGTGAAAGAAGACATTGTATACAACGCGAACGACGCTTCTTAAGATCTTAAAAGTCACGAGGAAGCCGAATGCAAGTGCAATCCCTCTTACGGAGACGAGGTCAATGACACTGACCTTCGTAACAACAGATTGTATTGCGACTGCCATGTCTGCTCGCGGAAGTGTGTTGGTCAGCGGTGGAGGCACGGTCCGATGAGTCAGTTTCGAGGTCGAAGCTGTGTTTTGAATGAAGCGCGCATGCTAGTGATGTCAATATTACCGTTTACGCATAACGGCAGCCGTGTCGATCGAGAACACGTCACAGGACAGGCGACGGTCGCGCGTATAGCCGCCAATCTAGCTCCAAAAACATGGGACGAAACGTGGACGTTGACAAAAAGTGTGGCGGTGATGGAAGATGGCTGGCTGATCGAGGGGAATATCACTCACATGCGGCTAGCCTGCTTGGCGCCTTTTGTCGCTGCCGCCAAAGCCGTTGTGCGCCTGTCGAGAACACCGCCGTCAGGAGCCAAGCAACAACAAGTCCAGCTTTCCGGCTATTCGGCTTTAGTATATGCATGTTCTCATTAATCTGTGGGCGCTGGCTGGGCTATGTAAGGGTATGATGCCCCGCGCAGCTTCCTCTTGACTCCGCAACGCCTTATGGACTTCATATACAGCGACCAAGTCTACAACAGACATCAAATGCAACATCTCGGTCCGGTCTAATCGCCCTGTTCAGCTTACCTAAACGATCGACGCTCAACGTGTGCGCATCGCATCAACCTCGGAATAGACGCGTGCGTTGCAGCCCGAGCTGGACCACGCGACAAGCTGCATATGCCCGTCTCGGGCTTCCTTCGACTGGACTACTGGTTATGAGGAGATCTGTACAGGATCTCAAGCAGCTCAAACAGGCGGAGGAGGTTTGCTAGCCAGCCGCTTCTCCTGCTCCTCCTTGTCGAGCGTTTCCCATTCAGCGACGTTCTTGTCCTGTCTTGGGTCAGAGATAGATCTTCGAGAGACCGAGTGACGAGCGACTTACCCACTCCGCAATGCATTCCGGTTTCCAATTGCACTGTTCGACCTCCCCGTACATGGCATGACTGTGGCGAGGATGGCGGGAAGGCCAACCGGAGGCGTGGTAGTGATGCTTCACAAGGGCGCCTCGCGAGTCGTGGTTCCCTGAATCGGAGTGCCCTTGCCCAGCAGCAAAGGCCTCTACATTGAGAACCAGTACGCCGTTCTGGAGTCTGGATTCTGCCAGGTTGTGGAAAGGGTCCCAGGTAACCTCCCTTCCGTGGTTTTGCGCAGTCATCTGCTCAAGCACCGCTTTTGTGAAAGCTGATGGACCGGTTCCACTGATAACCTCGTTGAAGTCGAGCTGGAGCTTTGAGATTGGCACACCCTTCTCGTGTGAGAGGTTGTGCAGCCATTCTTGGATGTTCTCGATCAAGCGCATCATTACTGGCAGTCGTGGTTTCGCGGCGAAGGTCCATTGGCAGAACGACTTGCACTTGGAACCCAGGATTGGGTGGTCCACGAAAGCAGGCTCGTCAATCTCAACGCCGATAATCATGTCGACGTCATGTTCGTTGTACCTCTCTGGAATGAACCTGTCTATAGAACGGAGGCACTCGACATCGATATCTGCGTATACGCCTCCTTCGGCATACATGACGAGGTATCGCAGCAGGTCAGCCTTGATGATGGTGATGTCCAGCTCGCGATACAACGTGACGATATCTGGACGGTTGAAACCGTGCATACCGTAGTGCCACTCGACATATGCTAAAGCATTATCGTCCGTGAGGACTTCGTACCGGTAACTCGGGTTCTTGGCTGGCCATGTCTTCGCCGAGTCCGAATCACGCTGCTCGAAAGCTAACGGTCCAGTCTTCCATGTCTGCCAGATCTTCCGAGGAATAACGCTCAGTTCTGCTTGGATTGGCTGCTGGTACTTTCTTTCCCGTCTGTACCGGTGCGCGGCGCGGACAGGGGCGGTGAAGAAGTACGAGTTGGTGAAGAACAAGATCAGAAATATGACGAGGAGGTAGGCAGGCAAAACTCTCCTGACTTGTGTGGTGAACTTGCTCCTGAAGTGAGAGGCAATGGGCGAGTGAGCAGGCATCTTCGTGTCAAGGTAGAGCTTGAGTGGAGGTGGACGAGATGGTCGAGTGCGCATCCTGAGTTAATCACAAATTTGCAGGATCCACGCCTCCCGCCCATCATTAAAGAGTTCCCTGCCAAATAACCCTTACCGCCTCGTAATCCTTGGCCTCATCGATCGTCAATCTCTCGAGGGCCAGACAGACTTGCATGACTTGGTACGTACACCTCGACAGGTCACTATCACGAGCTAACAGACTCGAAGGCCGAGCTTCGTGGGCGAGTCCAGATCGGAATCGTGGTTTCGGTCCAATGAACGAAGAGAGCAAATCTAAGGCGATCAAGGTGAAGCTTATCCAAGTGCGCCCTGTGCGTGCAGCGGCTCACTTGCATATTTCGGGGTCTGGCCGAATAGGCAGTTGCCGCGACCTTGTACCTGATCAGTCGTTCGTCCCCAATAACGGACGACCAAGCCTTGCCGTTAACTATTGTGGCCCCCAAATCAGGTGCTTCCCCGCATCACGCGAATTTGACATTCACAGCGTTCATTTTGAAAGGGTCGTGCCTCCTCGGTACCTCGGCATTGGACCAACTCCAGCGAACGCCTCAACGATCATTGGCCGGTAGAGTCTCCCCGCTCCTATATTTGACATTTCGACAATACACTAAAGTCGGTCATCAAATGCACGATCACCTACTTGGAATTAGCCTGACGTCCACCCTGTGGTACAAGGATTGTCGCATTGAAGTTCCCAATTTGCCTAGCGCATGCATAACGCTGCTCGGAGCAGGGTGAACGCACGCATCTGAAAGACTCCAGCCCTTCATTTACCATCGGGGGTCGACTATCATCTGAATGTATAGCAGTCTGTACCCACGACCATTCCATTGCAAACATGCCCACGAAAATCGAAGGACCACTGGACCACGGTGTACTTGAAGATGTCAAGTTAGATACTACAGCCTGGAAATCAGGACGAGCTACTCGTTGGAGTCTTGATGTTGTTCGTCCAGAGTTTCTTTCTCTGAGGCCTGGTAGCCCGAAGAAGCTGCTGAGGCGTACAGCGTGGCTCGACGGTTTACGAGGCTTCGCTGCATTCTTAGTCTATCTTCACCATCACCAGCTATGGTCGCACGACATCCACGGGAATGTGGTCTTCGAAAACGGTTTTGGCTACGACAAACGCCATTACTTTGCTGCGCTGCCTTTCATCAGGCACTTCTTCTCTGGCGGGCACTTCGCAGTTGCCATTTTCTTCGTCATCTCCGGCTATGTACTGTCTGTCAAATCTCTCGGAGCAATTCAGAAGAGCCAGCATATGGTCTCGGCAGATGCTGTTGGTTCTGCTCTTTTCCGACGCTGGTTGCGTCTCTATCTTCCAGTCATTGGGTTCACACTGTCTTGGATGATTATTCGACACTGGACCAACGTATGGGTCGACTTCGGTGAACGCAAAGATACGTGGGGTGAAGAGTTCAAGACCTGGTACTACGCCTTCAAGAACTACAGCTTCGTGTTCCTTACTGGTGATAACCTCGACTTCACGACCAAGTACAACGGCCATTTGTGGTCAATCCCAATAGGTTCGTTTCACGGAAACTCACACATGTGATCTGGCTGACCCATTGCGTAGAGTTTAAGGGATCGATCATTATTTACACCGTAACTTCGGCTCTCTCACGGTGCACGAGAAACGCCAGGTTGTGGTGCGAGCTTGCAATGATCATTTATTTCCTGTACGTCGTCGACGGTTGGTATGGTGCTCTTTTCATGGGCGGCATGCTGCTATCCGATCTCGACTTGCTCGCCCTCGAGGATGAGGAACCTCGCTTCCTAGCGAGATTGGGAGAGTTCAAAGAGTTGATATTCTTCCATCTCTTCATCGTCGCAATGTACCTCGGCGGTGTTCCTTCTTGCGAATCACCCGAGGGCAATCGAGACCTACTCGCTTCGTCGCCAGGTTGGAAGTGGCTCTTCAAATTCAAACCGCAGGCTGTATGGGATGCCAAGTGGTTCTACCTCACTTGGGCCGCTATCCTCACCGTCGCATCTGTTCCTCGACTACCATGGCTGAAGCGCTTCTTCGAGACGCGCTTCTGCCAATATCTCGGACGCATTTCTTTCGCCCTCTACCTTGTCCACGGCATTGTTATCTTCGTGCTAGCCGATCGACTCTATGCAGCTGTAGGATTCAAGAAAAACGGGCACAAGAATATCCCTCAGTGGGTCGACATCTTTCCTTTGGCTATGAATGGACCTATGGGCTTCGAGCTGGCGTTTTGGGCGGTGCAGGTCATCAACATTCCTGTCACATTCTATGTCGCCGAAGTTGTCACGAAGCTCTTCGATGAGCCAAGCGTCAAAGCATCCAATTGGCTCTACAAGAAGACTCTGGCGCCGCAATCGCCATCGCCGAAGCGATGAACTCGATACAGCAGTCAGATTCTATTAAATTCACATGACATCGGTACGATTATCATCGTACAAACTCAGTCAAATCTCCGTCTGTGCTTACCCTCAACACAATGCTCGCGCGCCGGACCTTCACGTGTATTCACATGTACCTCGGAGCGTTCAGCCGCCCGCTGTCGTAGCATCACGGCGAGGCTGACAACGTTCTCGGTGACATGTCGCGCAGAATTTTATTGGTTTGCTGCAAGGGGCCTGGGCCCCGGCACTAATGCACCCAAGAACATGGGGTAGTTACCAGTACGCGGGGTAGCGGGCACTTGCACGGCTAGCGGCTTTCGTCCTTTGAGAAGCCTCACGGCGGAGTTGGGCCCGTTCCTGCACATCCGGCCCGCTCTTATCACGATCCTGTGAGTGGCTAAGAGATATCCGTAGCCGCCGTGATGACCTTTACAGATGTTAGCTTACCAGACCAGAACTCACATGTCGCCGATCACTCGGTCATTCCCTAGGCTGATTATCAGACGCAGTACATGGCCACTGGCGCGGAGCGTGTCGCACGTAGGTAATTTCGGTACCTTTGATGCTCACATGAAGACTGCCATCCACCCGACACCATGAAGCGGGTACGACATTTTCTCGCAGCTGCGCTCGTCCTGCTGGGACTCGTGTACTTCTTCACACAGCATGAGTCGATGTCACTAGGCGCCGAACCGGCTAAATCGCAGAATGGGTTACCAACAAACACTCATGCACACGACTTGCCTGAAGAAGATGCAAGTCACGAGGTACCTGCATCGGACAAGCTACCGCCGAGCTCGACTCATGCGGCATCTGGCGATGTACCAAATCTTACAGGGTCAGGTGACACTCCCTCAACAGCGACCGGTGACGAAGGCTCGGCAGGCATCGGCTTCGACTTCCAAAAAGACCTCAACCTTGAGCTTCCCATTGACACCTTCAAAGACCTAAGCAAGCATGCACCACAGAACTACGGCCCCAGTGGTGACCCATCCTACACCTACGCGACCTTCTTCGCGTCTCGCAACCCTTCAATTGAGGACCCCTATTACCTCGCTATTCACTCTTTGATCTATCGCATTCTCTGGTCGCCTCGTTCAAGATCCTCTTCGCACCCCTTTGTCGTTTTCGTCGGGGAATGGGTCTCTCCAGAGCAACGCCAACTTCTCTCCGGCGCAGGCGCACTCGTCCGCGAACTAGCACCCCTACCCTGGGACCCGCCCGACCCAGCGGTGCTCGACAGATGGAAAGACCTCTTCGCCAAACTGCACATGTGGAACGAAACCTCCTTCAGCCGCATCTTGTTCCTCGACGCGGACGCGCTCCCCATCGCGCCTATCGATGACATGTTCGAGCTCAAGGAAGAGTGGAAATGCATCGAGACGAAGATGCAACTCGACGACTTCTTACCAGGGGGTGACGGCGTGTGTGAGCGCTACATCTTCTCCGGCGTACCCGCAGACCCTTACTCGATATTCGACGCCAATATCAACGTCGGAAGCATGGTATTCACGCCCAACGCGCGACAGCACCGGCGGCTGCTGCAGAATTACTTGAAGTTTGACAAGTACGATGTCAAGATGGCTGAGCAGGCATTTCTGAACTGGCAGTTCGGTGTCAATAGCGCGTATCCGCCTGGGATGCTGGAGAGGGAGTATGGTGCGTTTTTCCCGGATGAGAAGGGGGAAAGGGGGATGAAGGTCGTGCATGAGAAAATTTGGGCGGCGAGAGGCGGGTTCTGGAAGGATGAGTGGGAGGGTACATGGAAGGAGATGCTGAAGTTTTATCGGAGTGAGGAGTTCATGGCGGCGAGAGCGGCAGGTGGTGTCAGTCCAGGGTCAACGAGCCAGGGGTCGGGATAGATATCGATGATGGGCCAATATATACCACAGTAAGGCAATGTTGATGTGAATAGCTATGCAAATGTACATGCACATATGGTTCGGTGTGAAGAATGAATGGATACAATACTACCCTGCAATGCCGCTAAACTCATAAATAATCATACAATATCTCTCACATTCACTGCCAGTCACTCTAAACCTGGAGCTCAGTGCGTTCAGCAGGCTCCAGAACACCGCCACGAGTGTTAGCCTGCTCAGCCTTGCTCCAGCTACGGCCACCAGGACCCATCTGGAGGCGGTCGGTATCGACGAAACCATCCTTGGCGATCGAGGACGAGTCCCACTTGGCAGAGGTGATTGGATTAACGTGGAGCACATACATCGTGTCGATCTCCTCGAGCGAGCGGTCCTTGGACTCGATCATGAAGAAGTAGACGATCCAGAAGAGCAGAAAGCACGACACGCCAAAGACGAGGCCGTAGTAGTAGTCGATCTTGTCGGTGACAAGGGTCGAGACGAACGAGATGATGAAGTTGAATAGCCAGTTGGAGGCCGTGGCGAGAGCCATGCATGTTGCGCGGTAGCGCGCAGGATATAGCTCCCCAACGATTGCCCAAACGAGTGGGCCCCATGTAGTAGCGAAACCGACGATGAACAGGCAGGTGAAAACGATCATGACGTTACCGGCGACAGGGGTGGGAACGGGGGTACCATTGGCGTCGGGGGTGGAGACGTAGTGGCCGACGAAGGAGTAGATGAAAAGGCACAGGAACATCCAGGCGGCACCACACATCATAGCCATACGGCGGCCGACGTTCTCAACGATCCATAGACCACCGACAGTAGCGAGGACGTTGACGGTACCGAGGATGATGGAGGTGACATAAGGGTTCTTGAGACCAGTGGCGCTGAAGATAACAGTTCCGTAGTAGAAGAAATAGTTGGCACCGGTAAGCTGCTGGCCAGCCTGGAGGACCATACCGAGGAGAGTGCGGTAGAGCATACGAGGACCAGTGAAGATCTCATGCCACGGGTGGTCACCACCAGCCTTCTCAGCAGCAAGCTTCTCCTCAATCTCACGGATCTCGTTGTCAATGTAGGCGCTGTTGGGATCGATGCCGTTGAGGCGGGCCATGTTGGCGCGAGCCTCGTCAATTCGACCCATGCGGTAGGCGTAGCGGGGAGACTCGGGCAAGAGAAGGATAGTGCAACCAAGAATTATGGCCCAGAGAGCGGACAGACCATTCGGAATGCGCCACTGAGCATCGTTGGAGTAGTCCTTGGATGTGCCGTAGTTGACCATGTAGGCGGTCCAGATACCGAGGGTGATGAGCAACTGGTAAGAAGAGACAGTCGCACCACGGATGCGCTTGGGTATAGACTCGGACTGGTACATAGGGACTACGGTGGAGAGGGCTCCAATGCCGAGACCGGCAGTGAAACGACCCATAGCGAATTGAACCCAGACGCGCTTGGAGGTGATCTCGATGATCACACCAATGATGTAGAAGAAAGCGGAACCAGAGATGGTAAGACGACGACCATAGGTATCAGCCAGAGGAGCGGAGATCAAGCAACCGAACAGGGTACCGATGCTACAAATTGTTAGGATAGTCGATTGTGAGGTATTCAATATAACCTACCAGAGAAGACCGACGATGGTTCCTTGGCGGATGGCGGAGAACTCGCCGTTCTCGCCAAACCTCTCAAGAAAGTCAGACATCTGGAGGAAACCAGAGATCTGCCCAGACTCGTATCCGAACATGAAGCCACCAATACTGGCGACCGCTCCGAGAATTACAGCAACAGCGGGAACACGACCCGTAGGCTCGATGTCAGCAGCATCCCTGGTAGGGGATACAGTCCGCGCGGGCGTCTCAGCAGGAGTTGAGGACTCGGGAGTTCCCTTTTCAGCCACCTCATCGGTGGTCTTCTTGCCGAAGAAACGCATGGTGGGCGCGTTGGACACGGAGTCCTTTATTGAACTAATAAGAATGCTAGAACCGCAAAGTACAGAGGCTGTTGCTCTTGCAGTCAACACAGATTGCTGAACGAGTTGATGGGGGAGAACTGGAGAAAGAAGCTGGAATGCGGGTTTTGAGGAGAACTTATGTCGTGTGACGGCGCGGAGACTATGGTTTGGCCTGCTGAGGAGTGGAGCCCCGCTGTCAGTTTCAATCTTGCAGCCGGGGCTTCATTTCTTCTCTAGTATCGCGACTGGAGTAAGCAAGACCGCGAATAATGGGGCTATATGATGTAATGCCATGCTGGATGTCGTCGACGCTCGCGCTCACGGATGCTGCAGGGCCGGATGCTTGGCCGGAGAACAAATTTGCCTTGACTCGTGACCGGGGAACATGACGGAATGTCGGCAACACAGGCTCGAGTACAAGTTGTTCGACCCACGCCTTCCATCATACATGTGCGCAGCTCCCCTCAAAAACAGTGTCCAGGCAAACATCGCTGCGGCGGAGTCACCCACGAATGCGGGTAATGGGGTGGGCTAACAGCGTGAGGCTCTGCGGATCGGTGTTCGGACAGTATTATTGAGATGTCGGTATCGAGCATCTCATGTCCGTGTCTCCCGACGGGTCGATGTCGCAGTGGAGTGACTTGGCAGTGGTTGGCTGCGGGCGCCGATCTTGACCGAGCTGCGGCAACTTAGCGCCCGCAGAGCCTCGTTGCTGGTCCCGAGGTTGCATCACTAGTGGTCAGCAGCCTGCGCAGGGAAGAACGGGTGCCGAGAATCTTGAAGAAAATTCTTCGTGGGTTCGAAAAAGAGGGCCATGGTGGAGCAATAATTGCTAGTTTTGCATGCAATCTCTGTCGTCAGGGCAAAACTCGGGATTGTTGGCTGCCGAAGAAGAGCCGGATGACGATGTTGAGCTCGCTTCTTACGATGGAGTGGCGGCCTCACAGTTCAGGGACAGTCTCGCGTGTGCTGGTGATACTGTTAGCGGGGGATGAGCGCTGCATAAAGAGGAGACATAACTATGGAGATAAAGGCGGGATAGGCTTACCATGCGTTCACTCCACAGCACGCCCAAACCTGGCCGCGTGCCTTTTCAGGACGAGCCACAGCAGCTTGCGGCGGAGAGCCCATGCGGATACTGCAACCTGCGGCATACTGTGCAACCTGAGGATATCCAAAACTCGGGAGCTTAGTTGCCCCATGGGTGGGGGGGGCAGGCGCTCTTATACTCATGCTCCGGACTGCGTTACTCCGGACTCTGGAGGGTGGGAGCCCCAGACTAAGCGTCTTCCACCAATGAAATATTTACTTGACCAAGAGGTGACAATTTGGGATACATTTCCTACAATATTGCACGGAACGTGAGTCGTGGCCTGACGGTCGGGCTACCCGGATCAGCATAGCCCAAATCCAACACCTCGGAGAGACGGGAGCATGTCACATGCTCGACGGTGACAGAGCTGGTATTCGTGGGGAGATGCGGTGAAACAGTGAATGAAACGCGTCATTTACGATGCATCCCTCGTCAAGAGTGGAACGCAACGCTGTTAAATATTCAACAGTGACTGAAGATTTCATCGAAGCGCATTCAGAGGTGCTGCTCCACGTGTGCTTATTGTCCCACGGGGGAGTCCGGAGAGGTGTGGAGAGCTCGAGCTTGGGCGTGGAGACATCGCGTGAGAGCCGCACTAACCCCTTCTTGCGTTAGCGTCTCAATGCAAGAGGTCCGGCTTCACAGGACGAGAGTTCTCCCAGTCGTAATGTGATTTACAATTTAATGAGACATGTTCAGCTAGCATGCACATGACTTCGTCGGCAAGAGCCTTAATTTTTGTAGATGCGTTGAGACTATTTAGTACTGCCCTCTCTTGATGAGAGGCATTCTTTGGTGGAAGGAACAGCACATCGTAATCGCAGCGACGCTCAGCCAAGAAGTCACAGGTGGATCTTTTGACTTTCAGACCGCAATACTAGTCGGTGCTTCCCCTATCTACACATGGTGCGCCTTCGGACGCAAGACTGCATCAGGATTCGCAGATACACAGTGCTCAACTTGAACGTAATGAGCAAGCCTGGTGATGTTAGTCTAGTGATGAGCTTTTCTTACAGCCACCGGGTAATTCGGTGTTACAGTTCCATACTTACAGTAGGTGTGCAGTTTCAAAGGGCCTGTACATCGTAGCTAGGACAACTCACATGCGTACGGGAGCGCAAATGAAGCACTCGCTCGGAAGCTGTTCAATTATAGAATCCAAAACTGATATTTAAAATACCATTGCTTAATAAACTCATTGTGATCATTTCAAAAGTAGGACATTGCATAGGAATCATCATGGAAGTTCGCTCAACAGTGTTCCACTCCGATGCCACAGCGTGCAAAGAGTTCAAAAATTGCCACGTCGTCCACCTTAACGTCACACATACAAATTGGAGCTCAGCCAGTGACCAAGTCACACAGATCGATACAAAAGCTGAGAGATCGTGGGAGAAGCGACCAACGCACTTATTCACGCGCCGCCTTTACAGCCGTAGCAGCGCAGAACCCGTATTGACTGGACAAGGAAACAACGGCAGGTTCTGCTTCACTATGATCTTCACTGGGACAAAGTCACCTTACCATACTTTGGGCTTTCATATTGACAGATCCAGGACTCAATTTCCCCGTGGACAAGGAACACTTCATACCGCAACGTCGCGTGTGTGCACCATGCTTGTGACACGATCGCCGAAAGCAGCCGATGGACCTCATGGTTTGCCTACCGTATACGTTTTGCAGTGCGCAGTCATCAGATAAAATACTGCTAAACAAACGATCATCGTCCGACAGCATAACTTATCAAACACGTGCCGCTTTACCAAAGACGTAAATTTTCACTGCGGCCACTTCACCGGCACATAGGTCACAACCATTGACGAGCAATGCCACAGCCTTGGCCCTAACCCAAGACCCTGTCCTCGTCTTCATGAAAATTACTCATTCACACCGAACACCCACGGGAGCTGCGTCATCAATCAAGAGGGATTTTGTGATGAATGCAACAAAGAAGTAACCGAAGCCGATGCTCCTAGATGTCAGGGACTGATAATGAAGTAAAGGAGAATTAATGGGAACGAGGAAGGGTGAGGCATGATCAGAAGATTGTCTTGTAGGCGTAGCTACTCCAATGCACGGTGCCGCTTCAGTCAAAGTAAACCATCCACAACGTTGACCTTTTTGATCACTGTAATGTTTATTGCGGTCTAGTTCTCGCTCATCTCTTACACTGTCTTCCGCAGGCACTTACTAATGTCCTTCAGCTGATGTTCAGCAAGCACATCCCATGGATGCAGCTTCATCCTGTCTTCCCAGAATACTCTGCGCTATGCACTCAGCACATCTTGTGACGGAAAGTCCACAGATGCAGTGGTCTAATAGAGTGTAGTGGCTTCATCCCACACGATTGAGCCATTTTCAGTGGGATAGTGCTAGGGACCTGTGCCGAGCTGGATCTACACCCTGTCAATAACTTGGTCTAGCTTTTGTTGTCGTGACACAGGCCTTAAGCTCGTACTTTGAACCATGCACTTAAAAGTGATCAAAAAACAAGTGCCTGGATATCTCCCTCGAGTCCCGTACTCTTTACTTTCTCATTTTGATTTGTCATCTCATCAAGCACAGGCACGAGGCTGATCTGTCCCTAATGTTTGCTAAACCGAAACTCACTCTGCGTGTAGAAGCTATGGCTGATCAAATTGGTTCTTGGCAGCTGGTTATGGATTGTTTGTTTTGATGTAGTATAAGAGAGGGCGACGTTATAGAGACATCATGCGAAAGAGAGTATGGTCAGAGTGCATAGATCGTCGAACCGCTAATTGGAATGGGCAGAGTTTTGGCAACAGAGCGACACCTAGACGAACACCACATTTCGAATATCTCAGATCCACGATTGCATTCTCCAACTGAAGCGTGGTCATGCGCTAGGTCTGATAGGGCATGGCGCACGGAAGTAGCGATCCGTTGACGTCAACACTCGAGCTCACATCTAACGGCTCCCAACGTCTAATTCTCGACCGTTGACAGATCGGTAGGGCCGTCAAACCGCTCATTACCTCAAGGATGCCAGAATACACGCCTCTCCTCGGTCGGTCGCGCAATGGCAACAGCAGAAATGCTATACCATGGAGCAAACGACTACACCACTTCACATGGGCGAACTTCGAAGTCACTATGTCGACTGGCGCTCTAGCAACGCTAATCGGCCAGCAGCCCTACGAGTTTCCCGGAAATGTTGCAATTGGCTCGTTCTTCGCGGTGTTCAACATCATCCTGTTCGTCACATTCACCGGGTTGATTGCATACCGTTTCAGCTCCGTCCGAGGCAGTCTGGCAAAGAGTCTCCACCATCCCCATGAGAGCTTCTTCTTCGGTGCCTACTTTGTGAGCCTTGCGCTCATCCTGTACTGCGCCGATTTGTACCTAGTCCCGTTGTGCGGTGACTGGCTGCTCAAAGCAATTGAGACGCTGTACTGGACATACGCTGGCGTTTGCATGCTCTTCACAGTGTTCCAATACCATGTCATCTTCGACCGTGTGAAGCTACCAGTCACTCACGCGCTGCCAGCATGGATCCTGCCCGTCTACCCATTCCTGATGCTCGGCGTGGTGGGCAGCGCCATACTGAAAAACCAGCCTGCGACAGTTGGCCTTCCCATCTTCATCGGCAGCATCGCCTTTCAAGGCCTGGGCTTCACAGTTGCATACTTCTTCCTGACGATCTACGTCACACGCCTCGTCAACAGCAACCTCCCCGATCCACCAAAGCGGCCAGCAATGTACGTCGCCGTCGGACCGGCAGCGTATACAGTCAACACATTCGTGGCGCTCGGCATGCAAGCGCCGAAGCACATCCCAGAGGGCTTTTTGGGAATCGACAGTATCCCCATTGGCGATGTGTTCAAGGTCATGGCTGTCGCTATCGGCGTGTTCCTGTGGCTTGTGTCGTTCTTCTTCAGCGCGCTGAGCACCGTCAGCGTGCTGATTTCTGCGAAGGACTCGCACTTCACGCTCAACTGGTGGGCGTTCATTTTCCCGAACGTGGGCTTGGTCGTTGGACTCCTGCAGCTCGGAGAAGCCCTCGATCTCCCCAGTGTGCAGAAGATTTGCACAGGTGCGACCGCCGTGCTCACATTGCTTTGGATATTCTGCGCCATCATGCATGTTCGCGCGCTGTCGAGGAAAGAAGTGTTGTGGCCAGGCCAGGACGAGGATATGGAGGATATGGATGGCAACCCAGAGGACATGGATGGCGAGGATGAGAGTGATGATGGGGCGTGAAGGCAGGCTCCGTGACATACGGAGCGACTCAGCGTGTCACGCCACGCGAAGCCGCGGTAACACACTGGGTTCATGGACAGTACATAGTACCGCATTTCATTCAACACAACAGTGACCGCGACATAAATGACATCCCCCTGCGATCGCATCCCACAACCTCCCGTCCCCCAACTACATGTCAGCCTACCTCAACCAGCCTGTGCAAATAAACACAATGGCGTGCTCAACATGCGGCACCGAAGCCTTTGCCTGGCTAGCCGAGACCTTCGTCTGCCCCACCTGTGGCGACGACGACTACGTAGTTCCGCTTTTCGCGACCGACCTCGAGCGAGAAAACGCCGCGAGACGCACAGACACAGGCGAAGAGCATATCACATTCACTGAAGGCAGGCGCGAGATCGGGAGCAGAAAGCGAAAGAGAACTGAAAGCAAGGATAGTGATACACAATAAGATCGTCGTGTATCCGACGCTGAATCCTCGGTCAGGATACGTGGAGTCTGCTTTGATATGTGAGGCGCTGTGTCGTAGCCTGGATTACTTGTGTGCTTCTTCGATTCTTTGAGCTTAAGCGCTTTCAAAATTGCTGGTCTATCTGCTCGATGGCATCGTGTGCACGCGGTGTCTTCGCTGATGATGTCGGGCGTTGTGGCTGGTGCTGACCGCTGGAGAAAATGGGGTGGAGAAGGCGATGGTGGCGGATGGGCCGTTTGCTACGTTGATGATCTGGAGATGATGGAATTGCTAAGATGGGTGGAGAGTGACTGGCAGGATGTAAGTAGATGTGGCGGGGTTAGTGCGCAATGCTAGGGGCTGTGAGGCCTTGGTGAACACTGAGGCTGTTGGTGCTAGGCCTTGTCCGTGAGCCGTGTTTGGAAATGGAGAGATGGTTGTATGAGGACTGAGTTTATGTGCGAGGCTACTGGAGATTGTAGGTAGTCGTCCTGCTTTTTGGGATCCGCAGCTGCAGGATGTTGCTTATACTATCGTCTTACCTGGCAGCAACTGTTCTCACAAGACCGGCACGAATTCTCAAGGAACTCGAAGTACGTATGCAACACGATAAATCGATATGTCCGGCCGTGCTGAGAGCTCAAAAGGACAGAAAATTTGCCCTTCTCAAAACCTGCGCCGCTATGGAGGCCGTGAACGGCTCTCTCCTTTCCCACTTTCCTCGTGCCCCGCCGTCCACTTCACTGTGCGGAAATCAACCTCCCTTCCCTTAGATAGCCTTGCTATCCTCATCCAAACCGTCGAGTCCATACGTCTGGACCATAGCCTTCTTCAAGTTCGGAAACGGCGTCTCGCTCGCAGCTTTCCAGATGCGGCTCCAAGAGCGAAGTGCTCGCTGTCTGTTCGTGGGCGCCTTATCAAATCGCGCTGCTCCATCCCAGACTAGATGTGTGAGCGTCTCTAGGGAAGGTGAGAACATATCGGCCAGGTGCTGGATAGTGGTTTCGATGGGCTGGTGCCAGTGTGACGGCCCCGACGTCGTCAATATGCCCGTGAGTGATATACCTGTCAGTGCGAGTGACTTGAGATTGCTGAAGCTCTGCAGAGTTGGCTGGCCGGCGCAATAGTCCGAAATTTCGGTGAAGGTTCCGTCGTATGAACAGCAATGTTCGTTTGAGTATAGATGCAACTCCTCGAGGGACTTCTTGTGAGATCGTGATAGGATTTCCACATAGTGAGGCCGCTCGCAATAACCGTTCTCGTAGATCGGATAGCCAAACTTGATTTGTAAATGCAGGACCCTGAGACCTGGGAATATGCCCCAATGATCCATTCGACAAAGGTCCGGGCCCAGGTCTAGACGGTCCTATATAGTCTGCTCGTCGGAAATATGCAGCTCCGTCAAGGGAGATGAATGTGTGAGATCATCCAGCCCGGCATAGTTCCCAAACTGACAGCCTGCCACCTTCGCACTCTTCAGCTTCGGGAACATAAAGTTGCTGAAATATATGTCGTCGCCAGAGCCATGGTACCTGGAACTTGTGCGGCTGGGATACGAGAGGGTCAGATTCCGCAAGTTGTCGAGTTGGCGAGTCTTGAGGTCGTCATGATAATATCGGTCCTGGAGTAAGTGGGTGATCGGTATAACCACTACTCGAGGGGTCATCGTCTGAGTGCCGAGTTCAATTGTTTCAACTCTTGGGAGTAGAAAACAATGCCAGAGAGGACCACCATTGTCCTTGGTCAACGATGCCTTCAACAAATTACCCATTTCGTACATCTTGTCCCCGTACCATTCGAGGCCGAAAGCGGTCACAAGCGTGGCCACATCGTCGTCTGTGTGTTTTGTGAAGCCTGCATAATTGTACCCCATCCGGGCGACACATGGAAGGCTCCTGAGACTAGGCTGCGCCTTAATTCGATCCACAAGTGCGTACGGGTCTTGGATTCACTTCCCACGAAGGTTGTACTCCGGCTCGCAGTACTCCTCAACGATGCCGTGGAAATGCCTGCAAGTAAGTGAAAAGCTGCACAACGTCTTCGAAAACTCGCTGTCAACGGCGTTGAAAATCTCGCGCAGAATTTCAGTCGGCAAGTCCATGATGGCGGTACCTGAAGCCCACACTGGCGCGGTCGTCGCGGTCTTAACGGACGACATGGCTGCGTGCAGGCTGCGGTCTACGGGTGACCGCGAGGGCCCGTGTGCTTGTGACGCGGATGCTGGAGATCTGGGAGAGCGAGCTTGCAGCTTCTTTCCGATATTATTGTTCATGGCCACCGCGGTGGATGCTTGCGGTTGTTGTTCGAGGCAGGCCGGGAAGTGTTCACGTGAAGGCGAGGTGAAGGTGAGGAGAAGGTGACGTGTAGGTGCGGTGAAGGCGCGGTGAAGGAGCCGGGACACCCGGTGTAACGGGACACTTATTCTTCTGGAGGCTCGGATGGTGCTCAACGCGCTTTTACATAAATGTGGGCAGTGCGCATTTATTCTAGAGCTTGCGCTCTTCTAGCACATCAGCATCTGACGCTGAACAACGTGTCGTTGACTATGCTGTCGTTCGTTCTGTCAGTGCCGTCTTTCGACTCTCTCCCAATACCCTCTGTTCATTCGCGACATTGCGCATTTAGAGAAAGCTCAGTGGGCTAGAAAAGAAGCTAAGATAGAAGAGATCAAGACTGCAGACTTATAGGATTGAATTAAAGTAGGGAATGTGCACCCTGGCAGTTTCTCTGCTTTAGTGGCAAGATTGTCAGAACGCGACTGACCGGCCGTGCGTCTCAAGCGACATTTAGCAGATATAGCGTGCTAAGATATCTGCGAGTGGCAATGCGCGCTGTGGCTGAGGACCGCGACTTCCAGTCATCCGGCTTCAGACAGCTTTTATTCCTAGTCTTGCAGCCTGTGTCGTGCTGGTTGCTGTTGCAGAGAGCTGCGTTTTACACCTGTTGCGCGCATAGTTTAATTTCACTTTACGTAAATTTTTCTTACTATAGCAGGTGCAGATACTTCACATAGATTATTAAATTATTAATGTTTACTAACTTAACGTAGATTATCACCTAGCTGGCCATATCACTGAACTGGCCATTTTCTCTTGGCACAACTAACACAAGTTACTGCAACTAACGTACCCCACGGGCGAGCGAGCCAACGGGCGAGCGAGCCACTTTTGCCAAGCCCCTACCAAAGTACCCTTTCTATACCAATGTCTCAACAACAACCTATTATTAACGCGTCTTAAGAAGCTTAGGTACAGCTTGCGCTTTAAGCTCTTAAACAAGACGCAAATCTCTCCTAGCAACGCGCTGCAGCTATCTATAAAGTGCCTCAAAGCACGCTAAGCCATTAACACACTAGACAACCTTCACAAGGCAATACTGTGCCTAACTTACAAGGATTAGATAATAACAAGGAGAGGGTAATTGTTAAGCACATACTTAAGCTAGACGCGCAAGGATTTGGCCCCTAGCTTGCAGATGTGGCTGCTATGGCCAATTCTCTGCGCGCTGAGCGCAATCTAGGCCCTGTTGGCGTAAACTGGCCTAGTACGTTTGTTAAGCGTTAACTAGAGCTTAAAGTAAAGTTTAATCACAAGTATAACTACAAGTAAGCCCTCTACAAGGATTTAGGGGTTGTGCAGGGCTAGTTTAGCCTAGTAGCTAACATTAAAGCTAAGTATAGCATCTAGGATAACAAGACCTACAACTTTAATAAGACAGGCTTTATAATAGGCTAGATCTCCTTAGGAGTAGTTGTTACAGCTTTAGAGAGACTAGGAAGGCTAAAAATAGTCTAGCTAGGCAACTAGGAGTGGACAATAGTTATATAGGGCATTAATGCAAAAGGATAGGCTATTCTGCCCTTTATTATCTTTAAGGCACGCCACTACCTCTCTAGCTAGTACAAGGAGGAAGACCTGCCCTAGGATTAGGTTATTAGAGTCTCTAGTAATAGCTAGACTACTAATAAGCTTAGTCTTAAGTAGTTAAAGCACTTTAACGCGCATATAAAGGGGCAAACTGTTAGTACCTACTAACTGCTAGTTATTAATAGCTACAAGAGCCACAACTTGCTCTAATTCTAGCAATACTGCAAGGATAACAAGATTGTTACTATATGTATACCTCTGCACTTATCACACCTCCTACAGCCACTTAATATAGGTTGTTTTGCCCCTTTAAAGCTAGCGTATAGGCGCTAAGCTAAAATACTTATGCGTAACTAGATTACCTACCTTACAAAGACTAAGTTCCTCCTATGCTTTAAAGCAGCCTACAATATAGTGTTTACTCCTAGCAATATCTAAGGAGGGTTCTAAGGTGCTAGATTAGTCCCCTTTAACCTAGAATAGGTTATTTTAACCCTTAATATAAAGCTGCAGACTCTATTACTACTACTCCCTACTAATAGCTGTAAAGTTATAAGACTTTGTTCTTATAATCTTTATCTAGCGTATTTCCCTTTTTAGTATAGTGCTATGCTTACCTAAGCATTGCTATCGTAATCTCCAAGAAGAGAGGATTAGAATGGTGTGCTTACGAAGCCTGTATCTCCTCT